GGAGAGGAGAGGAGAGGAGTGGAGAGGAGAGGAGAGGAGAGGAGAGGAGAGGAGAGGAGAGGAGAGGAGAGGGAAGGAAAGGAAGGAGAGATCGAACTTGCGTAAAGAATGTTTGCGCGTATATCCGCGATGCACGCCCGAAGAGAGGCTACTTTCTTGAACCGAAGAAAGCCGTCTACCTACATTGTAAGTGGGAGTAGGTTAGGTTGCATTACATGGTTGGGTGCAAGAAAATTTTAGCTTCCCGTATGCGAGCGAACAGGGACCACGGGAGCTTGCATAATCGAAGAGTCTGCGTACTAGCGGCTCGTTGCGCGGCCTGTACCGCGTTCAGGGTTCGACGGAGCTTCTGCTTTCGGACCCCTCCGCGATATAATTCGTCGACTCGCTAAAATTTGTACAGGCGGAACCGTTAAAACCGCTGAAGCGGGTGTCGCCGCGTCCGCACCGTAACGCGCGCACGATATCGAATGCAAGAGTTTGGGACATTGGCGTAGGCGTGGAGGCGCGCGACGCGCGGGAAAGGGCAAAAGGAAGGCGATCGGGTTCGCGTAACAGTAACGGCCGAGCTGCTTTTTCCTAGACGCGAGAACGGCTCGAGTTTCACGGAGGAACGCGTTCATTTTTTGTTCGCTCGGATTCTTTTGCTTTCATTGTCAGAGTCGCGATCCATTTTGTACGCGCGCGAACGCGAGAGGCATCGTCGCCGCGGTTGCAAGAGGTCGTCCGAACGACGCGTTTCCGACCGGCGCGCGAACTTTTTCCTCGTTCCTAATTAGAGGTTCGAAGACGAGCCAGGCCACATCGAAATTGATCGCGCGGTCTTGCCTCCGATGTTCACGGCACCGCGTCGACACCGGTGATTCATCGACGACGCGAAACGTAATTTGTTTATCTCGGTGCAGCAAAATGCTGCGTCATCCGCATCGTTCACCGGGCGACCGGTTCACCGACGAAAAACGCGCGCGACGCGCGGACAGTTCGAGCGACGGGCAAAAGACACCGACCGAATTTCTGTTCGCGCTTCTCGCGATTCTTTCGCCGATTTCGACGAAACGGGGAATCGCGTCGGGGTTATCTCCGCCGATTGTTCGGAGATCTTCGACCGTTTCGGCCAGGTGATCCGTAAAACGGAGACCGATTTCTCCGGTTCTTACGAAATCCGATATCCGGCCGGCCGCGTCTCCTTCCAAATTGTTTGTTCTTCCTTTCGTCGTATGGAAAATTCGACGCACGGAATTAGGACTGCGATCGTTTCGCGGAGGTATGCGCGCACGCGATCCGCGCGTTCTCGTTCTCCTACTTGCTATTTTTTCAGTGTTTCCAACTCGACTCCGTTTTCTCTGTCTCCGCGCGTCGATAACCGTTCCTCCGAGAAACCGTTATCGGGTCGCTTAATCACTTATCGAGATCGAGTTCCTTCTGGTTAGGCGGATACCGGCAGAAACGAAGTCTCGCTACGGCGGTCGTCCGTTGTTCTTTTCTTCCTCGAAAGCGTCGGATTACCGATCTTTTCGCGAAAGCTCGAAGAATCTACCGGCGTCTTTGAAATTTCTCCGCCCGTCCCGCCCGTCCGTCCGTCCGTCGCGTACTCGTCGAACAACTTGGACACTGGTTAGATCCGCTCGGCTGCTGCGTCGATACCCCGAGCCGCGAACGATGATTTTTACATGGAAAACGGCCAGTGACCGGTAACACCGGTGAATTAGCATTTCCTAGACGCTTTCTAGGTCCGCCCGAATGTCTCGTCTGGCGCGACGAAAATTGTGCAATTGCGATCTCCTGGCGAAAGTAAAATTACACGGTACCATTGTAGAATGTCGTAATGCGATTGAAACGATTGCCCAACGAAATCACCGTTTCGACGCGAATTTATATCCGCGGCAACGCGGCGACGCGATAACGGGCAAAGGGAGGAGGAGGAGGAGGAGGAGGAGGAGGAGGAGGACGGGTTTCTCTCTGCCTCCCCTTCTCCCTCTCTCCCTCTGCGCGCTGCTCCGACCAAAAGGTTCTTTTTGGTCGAGAAATTGTATCGATTTCTTGTCCGTAAAAGTAAAATATCGGAATTCGCGTGCGCTAAAAACGAGGGATCGTGGAATTCCAAGTTTCTCTTTCCCGCTAACAAGAAATAGAACGTGAATGCCGGATACTTGAACCTGTTATTAAAAGATTCAACGGCCGCGCGAAAAGTCGATGATCCGTGATGGGACGATCCGACCGAAAGTCCGTCGAAACGAATCGCGGCGCGCGCGCGCGCGCGCGCAACGTCGTGGACAATGTTCAATTTCAATTGCAATTTCAATTTCAATTTCAATTTCAATTTCAGTTTCAGTTTCAATTTCAAAGCGTTCTTTTGCCACGAAATGAGACCCGAGAGATGGATAAATGCGAAGATCGCGTGTGTGTACCGATTTCCATTGCAGCGTTCACAGATTGAGAATGAACGATCAGAAAAATCGCGGAGGGACGCGGACTGGTGCTTCCACGAAGCCGAGGATTGCGTCGATCGTTGGAAATGACCATGAGCGTGGCTGTCGCCCCGGGTAGCCTCGGTGCACCTCCATCTATGCTCGCGCCAAACATGTATCATCTACAGCAGGGGTTAAATACAACATCGGCCTCGCCCACTTCCGAAAAAGTAAGTGTGTCGCGGTTATTCCGATTCGATTCCGGCGCGAATACCTATATACGCGGCCGAGCAGACGTATCCGACCAGAGTCGCGCGCAAAAAGCGCGTAATCCGATCGACGATCGCGACTATCGCGAAATCATGGTCGACGATCAACGATTACGAACGGCTCGAGTAATCGTAATCGTTGCAAACGCGACCGTTGGTTACGATGAACGCGCGGCGATCGTCGATCGCGTATCGGTAAATTCCGAACATTTTCATGTTACGATAATAATTTGGAATAGGTTGCGGTATCTCGCGACCCGACGGAACACGCTAAATAAATAAATCGCTGTTACCGATTTATTCCAGCAGCGATCGATCGATCGATCGACGGTTGTCGCGATTACTTTTCGCGATCGATTGCAAGAACCATCGCAAAGTAATCGATTGCTCCGACCGACTCCGGTTCCGACGCGTACGTCGAACGTATACTTCGTTGTTGAAATCGGAAGAGACCGACGCGACGCGTCTCCGTTTTAAGGCGTTTCCATACCGGTTGGCCGTACGCGTACACCGTGTGTCGTGCCGTGAAGAAACCCTGAAACGCGAAACGCCTGGACAAGGACGAACCAGCTCTTCCGATGATGTAAGAGTACTCGCGTGGTACGCGGTTTAATTCGTCCGACTCTTTCACAAAGGCCGGCGCTGCGTCAGGTTTTACGCGAAAACCTGACTCGGCCGACAATGCCGAACGCGTCTTCCGTTCCAGTCGGTTCGAGCCGAGGCGGACGCTGTCTCGCGTCTTCAGTTTCGCTGTCGCGTCGGACGGCCGCGCGTCGCGCAAAAACGGAACGGGTTCGCGAGCGTTCAACGTTGTTGCCCTCTCGGACCGATCTCGCGTCGCTTCCAGAGGAAGTCGTCCCGACGCGAGCGAGCCCGACGCGGAGCGATACCGTCCTCGAATCGGCGAGGAGTCCGCGAAGATTCGTCTTGTCCGACGGGGAGAGAAGCGACAGGGACGAACGAGATCCGCGAGACGTTTTCTAGTTACGTTACGCGCGGTTCAGAGATTCCTGTGGGACAGCTTCGAATCGATTATGAAACGAGAGGTATCGAGCGGCGCGGCGGGCAGGTTGCGATAAAACGTTGATACGCAAAGTCCGCGGATACTCGCGCGTTACGACTCTGCTTTCTTCGCGTTGCGGTTTATATAATGAGTTCGGTCGACTATGCGTATTTCTAAACGCGCCCGCCTCTAAGCGCGCCGCGTTAAATGCTTCCGACAAGGTAGTAGCAGACTCGGAATTATGTTCTCGCTCGCATGTACGTACACGCGTTGAACCGGTTTCGCGTTTGGCCCACATCGGTATGTCGCGATAGGACTTTCGAGGCGACTCGTCCCACAAATATCTACTCTCTTGGCGTTCGCGTTCGCGTTCGCGTTCGCGTTCTCGTTCGAACGAGAAAATACGGTTCCCTCGGCGTTTACGGACCTTTTTCCGATCGTAACGCACCCCGGCGACGGCTACCTCCGAAAAAACGCGTCGCATCTCGTAGAACGAACCTGGCCGAGAACCACGAAAATACCGTAAAATCGATCGAATTAAAAATTGTTCGACGCTCGGGTCCGAGAAAATAATTCCGTTGAAAGCGTCGAGCCGAGATTCGAGGCTTTCACTGGCCGGGGCTCCGCGCGGTTCTTCCAGCCGCGCCGAGACTTTCGGCCGCACGAGGCGCGTCCTGCTGGAATTATTTTCTCGACGTTGCACGTTTGCGAAAATAATCGTTGTCCGATCCCCCGAACGATATCATCGCGAGCCGGCTGTTTCGTTAACAAGTTTATACGCCTCTGAACACGATTCTACGTCGAGCCACCGATAAAACGAACGCTCGATCGAATCGATAAGTTTTTTACGAAACGGCATCCGCGCGATAGAAATATCGTATAAATTTGAACGCGAAGAAGGTACGACGAACGTTGTATTTTCACGTACACGCGTGTAATAATATGGAAAATATTTGTTCGGCGAGGGGGCGGTTCGCGTTCGTCGCTCGGATCGGCCGACTATTCGTTGAAACTCGAAGCGAACGTTTTCGGGTGAAAAGCGAATCCCGAGTCGCAAATTCCGGTGCCGTCCGACAACGAGCACAGCCTGCGGGGATTGTGTAACCGTAGCCTCGTGTCGGCATAGACACGAGTACTATGATGCATCTATGGTGCATCCGCCGTGACCCCGGTGCATGCGCGTGCACCCATGTCGTTCGCGTATAAGATTTCGTCGCGATAACGTCCGTATCCGCTTATCTTCGATCGCCCGGAATCGAATCGCGTTCGATATTCGGCCGTGTCTTCGATCGTCCTCGGTGAAACGAGATTTTCCAGCTTCTTCGTTGATTTTTTCATCTCCCTGATTTTTACGCGTGCGCGATTTCGAAAGCGAACGCGGCGCGTCCGCGTCCGCGTCTTTCCGGCTTCAAGTTGGCCGCTTTTATCGCGTTCGTACGCGACGATCGCGTTATCGGATAGATTCGCGGTCGGGAAAACCTCGGTCGCTTCCCATCGCCGTTTTTCCTCCGCGCGTTTATAAAAACTGAAGTACAGTTACGCGCGGAACGCCGAAAGTAATCCGTTTCTAATTGTAAGCTTAAACGCGCGCGGGCTGCAGCAGCACAAGGAGAAGAACGAGAAGAAAAAGAAGTCTCGTTCGACATTCGCGGCCAGAGCCACCGAGTTTTCACCGATCGCCGACGTGTTAAGTAGTGCATATATTTCTCGTCGAAACAACCTGCATTTTCGATCGCGCGCACGCGACTCCGGAATTTCCAACTCTGCGACGAACACCGTCCCGTAGCGATTCGAACGTACAATTTTCTATCGAACCGTCGCTGCGCCTCGATCGCGCGTCTATTATTAGCCGATTCTGCATAGAGGCTGATACAAAGGATCGTTAATCGTTTCGTAGCGTAAGCGTCACCCCGACGACTCTGCGAGCGAATCGACGTCGATATCGGTTTAGTCGGAACAAAAGGAAACGAATGGGCCCGGTCTTCGACTCTAATCTCTAGCCTCGAGTCTCCGGTAATACAGGGTGTCCGAAAAATGTCTAGCAATCCGGAAATGGCGGGTTCCTCGGATCGTTTGAAAGAACTTCTTCCTTTACAAAAATGTTCTCCGAGGCACCGTTAACGAGTTATCAACGAAAAACAGTGACCGATAAGAATCGAGTACGGCTGACGCGGGGCGGCTCAGTTAACCAGCGCGCGCGAAGCCAGTTCCGCTCATTGGCTCGGTCGCCTCGCGCCAGCCGAGCTCGCCTCTCATCGGTCACTGTTTTTCGTTGATAACTCGTTAACGGTGCCTCGGAGAAAATTGTTGTAAAGGAAAAAGTTGCTTCGAACGACCCGAGGAACCCGCCAGTTTCGGATTGCGAGACATTTTTCGGGCACCCTGTATTATTCGCACGGCAACGTCGAAAGTTCGAAAGCCATGCTCCGTTGTTCGCGAAACGAAACGTACACACGCGAGTTTATAAATTGAATCGCGTTATTTCCGTTTACGTTGCGAACGATTAGTAATCGCGTTACGAAAAGCCGACCGGTCACCTTCTAAATATAGCGGCGCGAACGTAATCGGAGGTTTAATCGTCGATCTTAAGGGAAGGAGCGTGTTCGGGTTTCGTCACGGATGGCGTTCGACTGAAAATTACAAAATTTCTCGGTTGCTTGCGTTCGATCGCGGGAAACGATGGGCGGCCGCGCGCGAGATAAAATTCACCCTTCGAACGAAAGGAAAGAGGAACGAACAGATCGGAGAAGAAATTGCGCTTTCGCAGTCACGAAACCCGCGCAGTTCGATTCACGACGAACGCGTCGAGGGGAAAAGGAAACGGGACGGGACGCGGTTCGACGCGGTTCGACGCGGGCACGAGAGTGTGCCGGCCCCGTGGTTCTTGCGAAAAGGGAAACAGAAAGACGTACGTGTACGCGTACTCTTGCTTACGTGCACGGGGAGACGCGAGACGCGAGACGCGAGCATCCGAAAGAGAGAGGAGGAGAAGAAGAAGTCGCGCGAATAGAAGATGTCCGTCTCTCGAGGTCGTCTCGATCCAAGGCTTGACCATACGGGGGCGAAGGGGAAAGCCGACTTCTCCTTTTTTACGCTCGAAAAGTTTCCTCGATTCGCGTATCCAACGGCGCGGAGAGTAATTATTCGTTTTCAATTCGGTCCGCCGCGATGAACATTTGCCGAACGATCGAGCTTTCCGAAGAAAATTCAGAGGTCGAGAGCGATCGTTTCGAAACTATAACTTTTCTTGGCGATCGATCTTGTCCGTTTTCACGGGTAGATTCTACTTCGGGTAACCATGTTAACTTTAACATGGAAATTGCAGGAGCTGTATCTTCGAGGAAACAGCGGACGCGAGCTGTTGCGTTAGCGAACGACTCCGCGAATTACCGGTTTTACCTTTTTATCGTTTCTCGACGATTAGCGTTCGACGTTCGATCGTGTGGGTACGCGTACGTATCGGCGTGTACGCGGACGCGTCACGGAAGAGGCAACAATGCGATTTCGTCGAAAGCGCGCGATCGGATCGGGAGCAGAAGCGCGACGCGTCGCGGATCGGGAAAGAAGCCGGGTAAACGGGTCGATTCGAATCGAACGGACGCGTCCGTTAGCCAGATACGTACAGATTTCACCGAGCGGGAAAAATCGTTCGAAATGTCACTGGACTAAAACCTGTAATGCTCGTCTGAAATTTTGTCGGCCACGCCCGTTCTCTCGTTGCACCTGCGATACCCGTGCATTTCTACGATCACCGCGACTCCCGTGCACTCGCGCGTGTACGCGCGCTCGTCGAGCGTCGAGCGCTCCTACGTTAGTTTTCTTCTTGTTTTTCGACAACCGACCAACCGGCCGAGCGTACAGGCCGCTCCTCTTACGTGAGGTTCTGGAACGAGACTTTTACGAAAGTCCAGCATCGACGAGAAAGTAAAGCATATCGAGTTTGCCCCGGGCCGTCTATCTGCTCCATTTTCCGACCTCGTGTGCGCCCGTACGAGCGCGCGCGCGCGGCGCCGCAAAATCTGTTACTTCGTAAACCCACGAAACGACGGACCGACGTTTTGCAAGCTCCTGCACGCCCTCGCTAAGAATTCTGTTTACCGTGTCGGGATGTCCTGTTGAAATCGAAAGCTTCGGGCACACGCGTTCGTGCCCCTAATTCATCGAGATTACGATTATGACAGAATTCGTTATCGGCGACAGGAACGCGCGCCGTATATTAATCGCGTTCTCCAAAGGTAGAAGCTATACGTGTACAGGATGGCCCGGAAGTCGCTGCGCCGTTTCGACTCTCGTATAATTTTTCTGCAAACGATACGTTCGAAGTCTTTGTTTCGCTTCGTTCGAATCTAGTCCTTGGAAACGAATCACGAGGATGTTCGCGACCGAGCAGCAACCGGTAAAAATAGATCGCGTCGATTCGAAGAACCGGTCAAAGTTACGTTCTCTTGGATCGACGCTCGATCGCGTCGATCGGTCGCGAGCGTCTTCGAATAAATTTCCACGCGTCGCGTTTCGCTGATCCGAAACGAGAGATTTGAAAACGTTAATTCGAAGAAAGTTGTTCCAAACTTTCGTCGACGACTCTTTCGGGCCACCCTGTACATACAACGTATATAGAACGCGCGTATACGATGCACGCGTTCTTTACAAGCGTACATGTCCATGGCGCGCATAATAAACGAAGAACACCGGCGAAAATGTCTCGGCGAATAATTCCGTGCGAATTCGAAGCCGAGAGATTTATAACGGCCGATCTCTCGAAGAGGGTTGCAGCGCGTCGATAGCCGCGCGGCACGCTCGGACCGGCGGCGCGTACACCGCGAGTTCGGTAAACACCGTCGTTGACGTAACGCCGACCCGACCGACAACCCGTTGCGCTAATAATTAAGAAACGTTTGAAATACGACGCTGAAGCCGTGTGTGCCAATACACTGTGTGTGTGCGTGTGTTCGTTTTAGAGTTACGACACGCTGAGCAAAGGGAAAAAGTCGTGGAGCGTTCGACTGGGCCTGTCGCGGCAGAATCAGAGCACCGATGATCCCGCGAAAGGCTGGGGAACGATAAGCGGCGGTAGCAGGTTCTCGCGACAAATGATCTACGGCGATCCATGGCTCTATGGAACGGTCCGATCGTCGAGGGCTGGCCACGAACCACGAGGCTTCGTGACACCGCCGCCGCCGCCACCCCCGGGAGCACCGATCCTCATAGTGTGCTCCTGCCCGGAGTTTCTCAGCGGCACCACCCGGAAGTTCGGCAACTGCCGCAAGTGCGGTGGTCACCGATTGACTGGTCTACCTTTAGGAGGAACATGCCGACTTCCGCAGATATCCACGAGATCGAGGCCCAGCCTCGCTGGTAAATCGTTTCGCCTTTCTCTCGATAATCTCTACGGGCGTTCGTACAGATCCGCGTCTACGCCTCCTACGGAGGAAACGCGAGCGAGGAAACAACGCGGTGTCTCTGCTCCTTCTTCTTCTTCTTCTTTTTCTTCTTCTTCTTCTTCTTCTTCTTCTTCTTCTTCGAGAGAGAGAGAGAGAGAGAGA